AAAAAAAAAAAAAAAAAAGGAGTTGTTGTCATAGACCCATAATTGTGTAGTAACGTGTTAAACAAGCTCACTTTGGCAGCATCAGAGGGGTTGAACTGAAGCATGCCAGCATGCCGGCTGAAGATGAGAAGAGTCCGGACTACGAAAGGAGGCGGGATGGTCTGAATGTTCTCCATTTGAGGAAGTTCAATTTTCTGCAAACTACAAGAGAAGGAAATCATACAACTGAATGGAGGAATTTTCATTTATAGCAGTCCAATTATCAAACACAGAGGACAAAAACTGCTCACATGACATTGAGGAGATCTTCCAGATCTACAGGTAAGAGTTAAGGAAAGGATCAGTGTGATGATGATCCCTTATCAATGTTTATCTGATTCCAACTTGATTCCATAAGCACATAAAAAGAGCCTAACTCTGTAGATAAGGATACTGAAGGACTCGCAGACGTTGGTCTCCAGGTCGTACAGACAGCTGCAGAGCTCTCGCGGGTCAGACGTGAATCCTGATAACTGTGTGAAAGAGATTCAAAGTAAACATGAATGTCACGCAGTGTAACATGCTATACTTCAATCAAAACCCCTGAGTCCTAGATATGCTATTATGTAGGTAATAAATGACAGAAAAGGGTGTCCTCAATAAAGAAAATGAAAATTAATTTAAAAATGTGCCAGGTTCTGAAAAATGTACTCTTCATATGCATGTTGGTTTTGAAATACATTTATACATTTTCAACAGAAGGTTAAATTGAAATAAAATATAAATATTAAATGAAAAAAAAATTTGTTATAAAAACTAATGAATATCAGAAATGTTGCCTAGATAACTAACTGAAATAAAGTTTAAGTACTAAAGTGACTAAATCTAAAACTGAAATAAAAATAAAACACAAGCGCATGACAAAATTACTAAAACTTTAACAAAATTCAAATGAAAAGTGCAAATATAACAATTAAAGCTAATTTAAAATATTAGTAAATATTTTAATAGTATATAATTATTAAGTACATGCAAGCGTCTTAATTATTTAAGTTTTAAAATTATTTTTTTTCTAGGTAAACATGATAATTATTGTTGTTTTTGTTGCACAACATGACATTTTACAAGCTGATCTAACCCTGCCTCATAAAAATGATCTGATGTTTTAAGGGACTTTTTGACCTTAACACACAGTCGTGAGTGTCCTCATGTTTTGCAAATATTATTGTTGTTATTGTTATTGTTATTGTTCATTAAACTGAACCCAAAACTATTAAAGTTTGTTTTCAGTAATTGAAATAATGCTGAAATACATGAAAATTATATATAAATAAAACATGAAAATCAAAAACATTGCCTTGGCATCTAACTGAAATAAGTTGAAGTGCTGATTAAAATGATTAAAAATTAATTAAATTAATCTATATACGAATACAAAAAAAAACTGAAAATGAGAAAAGCACATAACAAAATTAATAAACAAACGAAAGTTATAAATCTACATATAAAAGCAAATGTAAAAAAATACTTTAATAAAGAAAGAATAATTCGGAATATTTGAATATTTCTGACCCTTGACCCATTTGTCAGCTACTCAGAGGCTGAGTAATTAAATGATAGTGAGTTTTCATTTCAAAATGACAGTGTAGTTGGACCTGCGGTTTTGTCCACTCACCCACATGGAGTCATCATTCACCACCACCAGAGCAAACTCATGCCTTTTGTCAATCTTGTGCTTGGTTCTCACAAACATCTCGATCATTTTCTGTGAAATATTCAAGGCGTTCGTCTTGGATCTGAAAATGCAAATCATTTGCAAAAAATTTATTTAAAATGCCTTTTTCTTTCTTTTCTAAAAGAATATGACTAACCAAAGAAAACAATTTACTGCCACAACAGTATAATAGTAAAATAACCCAGGTTGTAACTAGGGGTGTGTGAGATATTGACAAAAAATAATATCTCGATATTTTCTGGGATTTTATCGATAAAGATAATTAGACGATGTTTCGCTGAGTGTGTTATTGTGCTGGTACTTTAAGGACTGCCGTGGACAGCTGACTTATAAAGTTTTTGATATTCTTCATGTTCTGTGCAGTGGTCAGTCAAGGCACAGATCTGGCCAAGGTTACAGAAAAATTTCTGCTGCACTTAAGGTTCCTAAGAGCACGGTGGCCTCCATAATCCTTAAATGGAAGACGTTTGGGATGACCAGAACCCTTCCTAGAGCTGGCCGTCCGGCCAAACTGAGCTATCGGGGGAGAAGAGCCTTGGTGAGAGAGGTAAAGAAGAACCCAAAGATCACTGTGGCTGAGCTCCAGAGATGCAGTCGGGAGATGGGAGAAAGTTGTAGAAAGTCAACCATCACTGCAGCCCTCCACCAGTCGGGGCTTTATGGCAGAGTGGCCCGACGGAAGCCTCTCCTCAGTTCAAGACACATGAAAGCCCGCATGGAGTTTGCTAAAAAAACACCTGAAGGACTCCAAGATGGTGAGAAATAAGATTCTCTGGTCTGATGAGACCAAGATAGAACTTTTTGGCCTTAATTCTAAGCGGTATGTGTGGAGAAAACCAGGCACCTGTCCAATACAGTCCCAACAGTGAAGCATGGTGGTGGCAGCATCATGCTGTGGGGGTGTTTTTCAGCTGCAGGGACAGGACGACTGGTTGCAATCGAGGGAAAGATGAATGCGGCCAAGTACAGGGATATCCTGGGCGAAAACCTTCTCCAGAGTGCTCAGGACCTCAGACTGGAACTAAGGTTTACCTTCCAACAAGACAATGACCCTAAGCACACAGCTAAAATAATGAAGGAGTGGCTTCACAACAACTCTGTGACTGTTCTTGAATGGCCCAGCCAGATCCCTGACTTAAACCCAATTGAGCATCTCTGGAGAGACCTAAAAATGGCTGTCCACCAACGTTTACCGTCCAACCTGACAGAACTGGAGAGGATTTGCAAGGAGGAATGGCAGAGGATCCCCAAATCCAGTGGATATAACCTTGTTGCATCTTTCCCAAAAAGACTCATGGCTGTATTAGATCAAATGGGTGCTTCTACTAAATACTGAGCATTTTTCAGTTTTTCTTTTTTAATAAATCTGCAAAGATGTCAACAATTCTGTGTTTTTCTGTCAATATGGGGTGCTGTGTGTACATTAATGAGGAAAAAAAATTAACTTAAATGATTTTAGCAAATGGCTGCAATATAACAAAGAGTGAAAAATTTAAGGGGGTCTGAATACTTTCCGTACCCACTGTATATTTCATATTTTCTATACACAGTGAATAATTGTATATGGAAATAATAATAATACTAAGTAACATTGGGTGTAACCATCAAGTAAAAGTATATATTTTTTAAGTTTTAAAATTGTATTATTTTCTGTGAACGTTTTCTGTGAAACGTTTAAGGTATTCATCTTGGATCTGAAAATGCAAACCATTTACGAAACATTGATATGAAAGAAATTTGTCTTTCCTAATTGAATACGATAAACCAACCGTTTAATTTAAAACCTGTAAAATCACCCATTAAATGACTCCAGTTTCTGTAGAGACATCTCCTCAGAAAGGTCCAAACAGATGATCTGTTTAAAAAAAAAAAAAAAAGTCAATTTCACTGACAGAAGTGTTTTCAGATGCAGATATCCTGAAGTTCTGTTTATTTACAGCTGTACCACTTTCTCGGGGCAGTTGACTCGTGGCGCCCGCAGGTGTAACTCGGCTGATGGGGGGATCTGGGTGCTGATGGCCGCCTGAGGGGGTTTGGGTCTTTCCTTCACTGTGGAAGCCATGGCAGGCAGGCTGGCGGTGGAGTTTCCCGTGGCAGTAACAGGTGCAGCTGCAGCGGAGGCAGAAGTCGGAGGGCTGTCGGAGCTGGCCGCCTCTCCCTCTCCCTCCACACGGCTGCCCACGGCCGGCTGCGGCGGGGACGCCAGGCTGTTGTTCAGGCTGCCGGTGCTGCTGCGCCGGTCCTCCGCACCCTCCGGATTGGAGCGGGTCCTGGGTCTCAGCTCCACCATCTGCTCCTCTCCATCTGCCTGACCGGGCTCAGGGGTCTCCATTACAACCTGTCAGCATCCAAATCACACCAATAATGAAGAATAACAATAGAAACCAAACACATACTAAATACTGTACATGCTTTGTACTGAATATTTGAATGGCGACTGAATAAGGAGGAAATAAAAGCAAACATTCTTGAATTATTTCACTCGCAAGCAGCAGCAAAAATGACAATAAAGGTCTTATTTTAAAAATCTAAACCTAAATGTGATCCTGGAGCACAAAACCAGTCATATATTTGTAGCAAAAGCCAACAATACATTGTATGAGACAAAATGATCGATTTTTCTTTTGTGCCAAAAAATCTTTCGGATATTAGGTAAAGATCATGTTCCATGAAGATATTTTGTAAATATCCTACAGTAAATATATCAAAACTTAATTTTTGATTAGTAACATGCATCGCTAAAAACTTCATTTGGACAACTTTAAAGGCGATTTTCTCAATATTTAGATTTTTTTTGTATCCTCCGTTTCCAGATTTTCAAATAACTGAATAGTTTCAGCAAAATATTCTCCTATCCTAACAAACCATACATCAGTGGAAAGCTTATTTATTCAGTTTCAGATGATGTATAAATCTCAACTTTAAAAAACAGATCTTTTTGACTGTTTTTGTGGTCCAGGGTCACAAATGAGCTTTTAGAAATACGGTTTTAATAGTGCTGTCAAACGATTAATCGCATCTAAAATAAAAGTTTTTGTTTACATAATATATGCATGTATACTGTGTATATTTATTATGTATATGTAAATACAAACACATGCATGTATATATTTAAGAAAAATATGTTATGTTTATCTATTAAATATATATATATATATAAAACATAAAATATAAGTAAATAAATATTTTCAAAATATACTGTATGTGTGTGTATTTTTATATATATACATAATAAACATACACAGTACACATATAATATGTAAACAAAAACTTTTATTTTGGATGCGATTAATCGTTTGACAGCACTAGTTTTTAAGTATTCGTTGAAGCAAAGGCAGTGCATTAACAGTCGAGATTTCAGATAATCTGATAACATTATTATCAGATGTTTCAGATAACTGTCGAGAACGTAAGAGACTTGTACAGGCAGCGCAGGTAGAATAGCGAAATAACGTATAACAATAACTTACCAAACATGCAACAGATGAAAATGGTGAGGGGAAATGATGCACAATTGATTTCAAAATATTATTCTCCAGCACTTCCTCGTTCGCTTCTGTGTCGTCTTTTCAGAGTCAAATACTGAAGAGTGTTTCTGATCAAGAGCGCCTCTAGCGGACTGGAGAGTTACTGCGGCTTCAGCGCTGCAAACGACCTTTGAGGGTCAACAACAAAACAAAAACTAAATTCAATAGAAAACAAGTCATAATAATATATAAATATACTCCTCAAGTGTCCATCGAATCTGGTTTCATCAACTGAATGTCTGAATTACAAATCATACTATAAAAAAATTATTGCAATTTTAGATATAAAAGACCTTAAAGAGAAATTAAAACCTTTTTAATTGGTTAATGATACGTTCCCTTACTATATATGGTGAAAAATGTTATAGATATAACCATAGATTTCATGCTTTACAATAAAATACTGTTAAACAGTAACGTGGAAGTGAAACTGTACAAATCATTTGTCATAAAAATTTAAAAACCATATCCCACAATTCTTTGTGACACTTCACATTTGATAGTATTTTGTAGTATTTATATATATATATATATCATTGTTAGTTGTTTCCACAATGTACCTGCAGCATATATGTATCTTTCTCTTTATCACCTGTGCTATTAAGTTGGATATATTTTTAATATATATATATATATATTTGTAAATTGCAGTTTGAAATGTGAAATTAACAGGGTGTTTTGTAAATATGCACATTTTTGCTGTACTTATGGAATTATTCTGCCAAACACAGCTGCCATTTATTTTGTAAAAATGTTTAATTTAACATTTAAATTAACTTTTTTAATAAATAAACACAATTTAAATAATAATCCCTGAACTGTGCGGGTTGTATCTAGAATAACTGTTTCATTTCTATACTGTACACAGCTTCTCCAAAGCAGTCATTTTGATACAGCATATTTCAGTCTTTTTAAAGAATATTTTCTAAAGCCATGTCCCCAAAACAGAAGCACTGCAGTAATGATCATTAAAATGAGAGGATTTATAAATAATTGATTTATAAACAGCAAGATTTATCAAACAATCTCTTACAAAGATAGAGAGTCAAACATAATCCAAGCAGGAAAAGACTGAGGAGACAGTGGGTGGAGACGATAATCAAGAGATGTGTTTAGCAGTGAAGTGGAGAAGAGCAGTGCTTGATCTGGATGAGCTGGAGCTCCCAGCGCTGCCTTCACATGCCCAGGCAACAGAGGAGGAGACACACAAACTCTCTGACAGCACTCTGGATCACACTGGAACGCTCTTTCAGTCATCTGCTGAGGAGGACTGAACCTGAACCGAGCTCAGGCCAATGATGGAGGTGAGTTTCTGGAACAGTGATGCAATTTATGCTGAATCGGAAGCAGAAAAATAGCATTAAGCTTTGTTTTAAACACAAACTTTGTAGTGCAAGCCAGTTCAATGAATTGCTTTTTAAGTAAAAAACATTCAGCATATTTTCAGCAGAAATCATGGGGAGTTCTAGTCACTTGTTTGTCATTTGTAACTGTGCTGAGACTTTATAATAGTTCACCATTTTCTAACCAACGTATAGTTAAATTATATTTCTAGCTGAATACTGAGGAGAACGGTATTGAGAGTTGCTTTTCTCACATTGAGCGACATCTTGCAGCAGCAGGAAGTGCAGTTACAGGATGTGCCTGCTTCCTCCTGCTCCTCCCCTCAGAACAAAAGAGTGATGTAGAAAACAACAACACCCATGTTGCTTTATCTGGCATCTTCATGAGTCGCTGTATAAGGAGAGAAAATTTGATTTGTTTTACATTGTACAACAGTAGATATAAGGACAAAATACTATTTAGATTCTTTTTTAGTTGTTATTGGAACATGTTCAATGTTAACTCCTCTTCATTTCTAATAAAATTCACTGTGACATTTAAATTAGTGAATTTAAGTTGGAGAAAGCACTAGCATTATTTGTTTGTACATGCCACTTGAGGGCTTTTCACACTGCGCTTAACCCCAGCTTATCTTCGTTCTAAACTACACTATATATGTGCATTTCACACTGATAATTTAGAAGGACCCCCTCATAATTATAACAGTGATTAAGCACATGCTTTACTCTTAGATGCTATTGGAACTTCCATTTAAATTTTTCTGTATTATGTTTTTTTTTCTTTTTTTTCTGGACTCTATTTTAGTTAAATAGTTAAATTAAATAGTAATCAAAAAGCATGTCTAATAAATTGTAATCATGAAATTATTACTATTGCTATTATTACTTTGAAGAGTACATTGTACTGTACAATAATATATATTATTATTGCACAGTACAATGTTTTTGACCTCATGATTCTCATTTGCTCTGACATGCACTGTGAGCTGTAAGGTCTTATATAGACAGGTGTGTGGCTTTCCTAATCAAGTCCAATCAGTATAATCAAACACAGCTGGACTCAAATGATACCTGTAGAATTTTTCTGTCAATATGGGGTGCTGTGTGTACATTAATGAGGAAAAAAAATTAACTTAAATGATTTTAGCAAATGGCTGCAATATAACAAAGAGTGAAAAATTTAAGGGGGTCTGAATACTTTCCGTACCCACTGTATATATAATATGTATGTGTTTTTCTTTTTTTTTCTTTTTTTTTCCAAAATTTCTTCAAGTTAAACCGGACCTTTATTTTGAAGGGTTTTCGTAAAAACCATTGAGTTTCTGTTTGATGATAGTTTTTCTCAAACTAAGTAAAGTGACTCTCAGAGCAGCTCTAAAGATGAAGTTGATGTATTGATGTACTTTTGCGCTTTAATATTCACAGACACATAGCAATTTCATTAAGTGCACAGCGCAACTTTTGATTTATTTATCTAAGATTTACCAAACCCCATGATATTTCGCGTTGTATAGTAAATTCCACTTTTATGACTGGATTCCACAACTCCATCTGCATTTTGCCCATTGCAGAAATCCTAAAATTATTTAGTGGCCTCTCCAGCTATGGGTTGTGCATCTGAGGGGAAAGTGCCAAATAGTGACGGGAAAAAAAATGTGAAATGAAGAAGAGTTTTATTCTCAGAGATCGGACAGTCTGGTGTCGGCGGACTCTGAACTGGCGCAGTGTGAGACAGAGGTCAACACTTTACTGAAGATCATTTCTGACCTCAACAGGAAGATGGACTCCCTACAAATACCACGGTAATCCCGGCTTCAAACAATTGCAAACTATATATATATATTGCTTTACACTAAGTGAAAAGGTGTGTGTTCTGACAGAGAAAGTCCAGTCGGGGTCAGTGGGTGCGTCCCGCAGCAGGGCTCGATGGTGGACGCTGGCACAGCATCAGTGGAGTCCAAGACCAAAGACGTCTGCAGGGACTCAGAAGGCATGTTGTGTTTATATACAATGCCTCATCGTCAATCACAGTAAATGCTGTGTCAGAACGGACAGCCTGCTATTTACTGCGCTATTGGTCCTGCCAGACTTTTGTTTCCAATTGCAAAACTACTTATTAAACGTTAAAATTATTTTCTCTGGGCACATTATAACATTTCCGACACATGCTAGTAATTTTTTTCTAAATTAAGGCTCCTGAGAAATGTTGAGAATTTTTTAGTTGGGAGGAAAAATAACACTAAAAACCAAAAACTTAGGTAATCCACGAGTTTTCATAATGGTGTTCACATCTGCTCATAATGGTGTGCAAACAACTGAAAAGTTATTTTTATGATGATGATGATGGTAATAATAAAATATTGCTAATCATTTTTTTTAACATAATAATTAATATTCAACTTAATTAGTGTCAAGTTAATCTTCTTTTGATGTTTTTTAAAAATATGAATATGGATGAAGTCAGGAGGAAAAAATAATACTAAAAAACAAAACCATAGTGAGTAATTTATGAGTTGCTTTCATAATGGAGTGCAAACATTTAAAAAGAAAGAATAAATATGGATGTCGGAAGGAAAAATAACACTAAAAATTAAAAACATTGTTTTTCTCTTTATAATGGAGTGCATGCAAACATCTAAAAAGTTCTTTAGGAATAACTTATTTATTATTATTAAGTAACTTTAAATAAAATGTTAAAATGTATTTGTATTTAATAATAATATTCATCATTTAAAAAAACATTCTACAGAATAAACTAAAGAATGATAATTATTTTATTTTATTAATAAAGTAATAAATCAAAAATCAGGAATTTGGCTCATAACTAAAAATAATTATAATTATTATAATAAAAATATTAATGTTTATTAATAAAAATGACTAATAAAATTAATAATAATAAAGTTAGTATTTTGTCACATTTTCCCTAACTACTTCAATATTTTGTATTGAATAATTGTATCTGAATAATTTGAATATACTACCAATAACAATTTGGAAATTTACCAAAAAAAAAAAAAAATCACTGTTTTTGCGCAGGGGGCAGCAGTGAGCTGTGGAACGAGCTGCAGAAGGTTCTCTCTGCTCTTGAGGCGTCTAGTGGTCAGGGGAGGAAAATGCTCAGGCTGCATACTCAGAATGCTGAGAGAATCCAGGCAAAGCATCTCTCTGCAGCCCGGGAGAGCTGGGTTCAGGCCACACAGGTGCTCATGTAGCCCCCTCTGTAGGGTACTGCGTGTGCTGTACTCAATCTGAACTTCCTCCAGGCAGCTCTGACCTGTGTGATCTGCCCCAGGTGCTGGAGGAGATGGAGAGGGATTTGGGGATCTCGTACCCCTCTGCTTTGCCCCCTGATGAGAGACGTCAGTATCAGCGGGATGTTCTCTCACTCTACAAACACAACCAAGACCTCAACAACTCCTTGAAGAGCCGCCAGGAAGAGTTTATGGGTGCTGAAAGAACTCTGATGGATCTTGAGGACGAGAAAAAGTGGCTACAGGAAAAGGTTGATGGGGACATTCTTAATCAATCATTAATACAGAAAATGTTTATGTTTTCCTTCATAAAACTCAATTACTACTACAGATCTACTGGACATAAATTAATGGTGCCATAAACAGAAAAATATATGGAAATATGTTATAATAAAATTATTTTAAAATCTGATTTAATTATTATTATTAATAATAACAATAATACTTTTACTGTTTTAATAAAATA